AACACATCCCAAAAGATGGTTATTTGTTCCTCATTTACCTCATTTCATAGACGACCGAGCAAAAATTCAGTACATAGTTTTTTTTTTTTGCGCTAAAATATATGCTAAGGGTAACCGCTATGTAAAAAATCTAAGTTAAAATCTCGAAACACAAAAATTAAGTCAAAAATTTAAAAAATTTTAAAGTCAAAATTTCGAAAAAAAAATTTTAAAATCAAAATTGGTGTTGAACAAAATCGATTACAATTAAAGTTCAAAGATTTAAAAAAAAATCAAATTTCAGAAAAACTAACAGGGAAAAAGAGGACAAACCTAAGTAACCTAAGCATTTTTTGCATTCGAAATGAAAAGAAACACAGATGAAACAGCTATAAATTTCATTCGGAAAATTGCATTCAGACTTCCAAACAGCATAATTTCGCCTCCTCATCTTATCCTCCGTCATCTCATTATTGTAGTCCTATGCGATTTTATACATTCTTATTATACAGATGGTGGGTTTTAGAGGCTGTACTGATGATTCCCACTCCTATCCATATGCTACATTTGGTATGTGTTTACAGCTAAGGGATGAAATACAGACTGCATCCAAACAAATACCTTCTTGTTCGCGATGCCTCGATTGATCCCTTATATCCTGCTGTACTCTATTATTAGAATTAAAAAGTGATAATGACGGTGAGTTTGAGGCGGTACTAATGATTCCCACTCCTATCCACATGCTACATTTGGTATGTGTTTACAACTAAGGGATGAAACACAGACTGCATCCAAACAAACACCATCTTGTACACGATGCCTCGATTAATCCCTTATATCCTACTGTACTCTATTATTAGAATTTAAAAGTGATAATTTATGCACTGGATTACATCAGCTGGATATCGCATATTAGTAAGTAACATCTACGAAGAAATAATAGACAATTCAGGAAGCCTGCTTCGGAGGTTATGATGCCGCAAAAATACATCGGACGGGCTTTTAGGTACCAAAAAACTACAGGAATCCAGCTCAGGATCGAAATGCCTAGCATAACTGGGGCCGGCGAGCGGAAACAACCCGGTAACATCACCAAAAACACATCCACACATGGGATGTTCAAACGGGCTTCGTATTTTCAGTAATTTCTGCACCAAAAACTGTAGGCCAGAGAAAAACCCTAAGAAAATTTACAAAATTTTGTATGAATAATAACGCAGAATGTCAAAAACATTTAGAGGATTTTTAAATTTTTTCCTAGTTCTTTCAACTGCTGGTATATAAATTAAATCATCCGGTTCAGCAAAAAAAAATAAATAAATAGCATCACGCACCAGACTAGCCGGTGCGACCATACGTTTTGTGCAATTTAACCCATCGGACTATTGCCTATTGATGATTTTCACTGCTTTGTACCTTTGTCTGTGCAAAAATAATTCAAACATTGGAACACAATTAAAAATCTCGTGCGCCAGCGCATGAAAGCTGAGTTTTTCGAAACCTTGAAGGATAAACATCTTTCCGTGATTCCTGGGTTAACAGTTTCACCGCCAAAATTCTCAAGAGGCGTAGGTGATGCTCAACAGCGAAGGAAAGCTGAATTTGAATGGGCAAGATTGAGCGTGGGCAGGGAGTCATTACCATAAAATTTCAGCCTCCTAGACTCCGTGATTCCTGAGATATTAATTTACCCGTAAAAAACTTTCACTCGGGCGTATGAGTTACCCGTGGGTAAGGGAAGGCTGAATTTAAATTTGCCGCGTCACCCGTTGGAGGGGAACACTATACTTCAGTTGCCTAGCTTTTGTGGTTCCCGAGTTGAAAGTGCGGGACAAAATGTGGGGCACACACACAAAGCACACACACACACATACACACAAACACACACACACAGACAATCCCCTTGTAATGCTGTTACACAGCACAAAACGCATAAAAATGCGTTAAAATAATAATCAGACAAGAATCTCCAAAACCAAACAAAAACCTCAAATATCGGCTACTCGCCGGTAAGAAGACCTAAAAAATAGGCCCATTG